ATTCCTACCCCACTTACCATCTGTTTCTCCCAATCTTACACTTAATTACAATTCTCTGTCTATTGTTCTCCCATGGTTTCCTGTTTGTTCTGCCACTCTTGTTGGCAGCATGTGGTGGTGGCTGCCTGGATGAATGAATGGCGCCTACTTAGTTTATTACATGAGGCCTTAAAATAGAGCTGTCCACACGTCTATCGCCTCTACCAGACCATGAACTTTGCTACGCCTTACCGGACTTATCATTGGATGCCTATGGCAAGCACCTGGCCCCGTGCCTGACACTTCGTAGGTGTCAGGAAATGTTGGTTGAATTTAATTAAACGTAACTGGAGTGAAAACCCCCTGCAGGAAGGAAAGACCCACACTTCTTCCTTCTTGCTGCGCCCCCACTGCACGTGGCCCAAGGCCCAGTAAGCCAGAATTGACAGCTGTTGTCAAGAGCAGCTCTAAGATTCTGGCTTGAGTCCTGCTGGCTATGATGGGGTTAGAGAAATGATAGCAGGAATAACAATAATATTGGATTTCCACCAGGCATTATGCCTGATGAAGTAAAGGGTCAGTGGAAGAGAGGCAAGCCCCCAAAGCGTTGGGCTGACACAAGGACTGCACCTGTGGGCTTGAGCAGGGCGGGGATTGTGGGGACGAAGGACAGCGCAAACCTTCCATCTCTTGTTCATCGGGACGCTGTGAGTTAGAGTCAGCCGATCACACATAATAAAAACAAACAACTATGTGCTAAACTTTGTCATTCTAATATGTTGGAGCAATATTATGGACTGAATTGTGGTCCCTTAAAAATATGAGCTCTGCACCACAACAAGAAGATAAAGGTAAATAATCCAATAGAAAAATGGGCACAGGATATGAACAGACACTTCACCAGAGAAGACATTCAGATGGCCAACAAGCACATGAAGAAATGTTCAAAATCCCTAGCTCTAAGAGAGATGCAAATTAAAACAACTATGAGATATCATCTCACCCCAGTCAGAATAGCAAAATTTAACAGAGCAGCAGGAAACACATGTTGGTGAGGTTGTGAAGAAACTGGAACCCTTGTTCACTGTTGGTGGGAGTGTAAAATGGTGCAGCCTCTATGGAAGGCGGTATGGCGCTTTCTCAGAAAGTTGCCAATAGAGATACCATTTGACCCAGCAATTCCACTGCTGGGAATATACCCCAAAGAGACCATAACTGCCACCCAAGCAGATAATGCTCACTCATGTTTATCACAGCTTTATTCACAAGAGCAAGGAGTTGGTAACAACCTAAGTGCCCATCAGCAAACGAATGGATAGAGAAGCTGTGGTATATTCACACAATGGAATAATACGCTGCATTGAAAAACAAGGAACTCATGCAATATTATTCAAAATGGGTGACCCTGGAGGACATTATGCTGAGTGAAGTATCTCATCACAAAAGGACAAATACTGTGTGGTGCCACTGTTGTAAAACAGGACTGACATCGGGGTTGGGGGGAGACTGAGAAAGATGGGTTCAATAATGTATACTGCACTGAAACAGATGAGGGAGAAAACTGTTTAAAATGTATATATGATTAGTATTTTCGTCATGACAGGAGTCCAGAACAAAGGCTGTATAGTGGAGTGGACTTGGGGGAGGGTTTGTAAAACAATGAAAGAATTTTTCTTTTACTTTTCCAAGAGGGTAGTGTACTAGAGGGGAGGGTTGGGAGGGGAGAAAAGTGCAACAATGAATGAATGGAAATCCAAATTTTCATTGAAATTAATAAATTTAAAAAAAACATAAAAATATATACCCATAAACAGAAAAAAAATATATGAGCTCTGGAGCTCTGGTGGCTTAGTGGTAAGGAGTTACACTGCCAACCCAAAGGCACTCGGTTTGAATCCACCATGTATCCGAGAAAGAAAGATGGGCAGTTTCCTCCTATATGATTTATAGCTTCTGAAAACCCACTGGAGGGTCAGTTATGGTTCTGTTTCAACTCAATAGTACACAACAATTAAAAAAATATATGTGTCAACTTGGCTACATCTTGAGTCTCAGCATAATGTTATTTCCCATTATGTAATATCCCATTGTAAATCCTTGAACTCTGTGATACTGGGGAGACAGGATTAGAGGAAGTTCTGTATGATGTAATCATCCCCCATGATGTGATCTGACATGATCAGCCATTACATTTAAGGGGATTGGGGTGGGAATCATAACCCTTAATTAGGTCAAAGCCCCATCTGATGATAGGGGAGTTTCTCTGGAGTGTGGCCTATAACATTTCTTCTCTCATGGAGGAGAAAAGGAGAGACCAAGTGAGCAGAATGGGGAGACCTCATCACCACCGAGAAGGCCAGGAGTAGAGTAGTCCTTTGTACTAGGGTCCTGTGTTTGGAAATTCCCCAAAACAGGGAAGGGTCAAGACACGTGGCGATTCCCCAGGAACTCTGGCCTGTAGATGCTGAAGGAGACACTGGCCTTCCTTCAGATCCAAGAGAGAGAGGAAGGCTTCCCTTAGAACTGGGAGCCCGAATTTCGACTTCCAGCCTACTCAATTGTGAAAGAACATATTTGTTAAGTTCATCCACTTGTTGAATCTTTATTATAGCAGGGAGCTCTAGTTCAAAGTGGGGTGTACTGCCAACTCAAAGACCTCCAGTCTTTGCTGTTGGTAGTGGTTTTTGGTTGTTTTTTAAAAATTATTTTTAATTTTATATTGGTTTGTTTACAAAGTTCATATAAATTGTTTTTCACACTATTCTTCATTCATATTGTGTTTCATACAATCATTCCCATGTATTAAATTTTAGAAAATTAATCACCATTGGGCCATGCCCATCATTGCCCTGTCTTTTCAGGTCCCCACCCAATCCGTCCAATTTCCTTCACCTCCTCCCTCCACCTACCAAATTGTGCAACCCTATGGTTTCGCTCCTACCCATCCTCACCCCTTTGCTCCCTTCCCCCTTTAGGTCCCCATACATGTTTTCCTTCTATTTTTACAAGAATGGTTTTATCCAATATTTGTCCTTATGATACTGAGTTATTTCTTTCAGCATAATGCTATCTAGTCTCTCCCAAGTTATATGGTATTTTTCAAAAGAATTTCTCCTGAGTGCTGCATAGTATTCCATTGTGTGAATGTACCACAATTTCGTAAGTCCTTTGATGTTCAAATCCCCCTGTGGTTCTGAGGGAGAAGATGGGCAATCTCCTCCTATGACAACTTAGAGCCTTAAAATGGTTTTAAGTTGTCATAGGAGGGCAGCCCTCCTATGAAGGGCTGAATGTGAATCAGAAGAACTGGACAACAGTGAGTTATTTTTTTAAAGATAACTAAGCCACAGCCCAATGTTATCCCCATTGGTCATCTTGTGGAACTGAGATTTCAGAAATTTTAGTACCTTGCCCAAGGATATAAAGATGGTGTGAGCTACCTGGATTCCATCACAGCTGTGCGCAATGTCTTCCCCAGTCCCTGAAACACGGGCTTTGGGGAAATCAGTCAGTGGCAGCAGGTGAGGAGGATAGCAGAGAGGTGAGCTGTGGGGAGGGATGACCTTCAGAAAAAGCCAGTTATCAGAAAGAAAGGAGAGAGGAGCCCTCCTGGCTCTCTCTCTCTCTCTCTCTCTCTCTCTCTCTCTCTCTCTCTCTCTCTCTCTCTCTCTCTCTCTGTCTCTCTCTCTCTCCCCTGCTTCTCTCCCTCCAGACTAAACTTACACTCGATCTTCACTCTGTTCAGAATTCATCAGATTATGCCACTGCTCTTACTTAAAACCTTCAGTGGCTCAGTTACCTAATACTGCTGTAACAGAAATACCACAGTGGGTGGCTTTAAAGAACAGAGATTTCTTTTCCTCTAAATTCTGGAGGTTAACAGTCCAAAACAGGCTCTTGGCTCAGTCAGTTCCATCTTTGAACCTCTCTTCAAGTGTCTAGTGTCCGGCAGTGATTTTTGGTGTTCCTTGGCCTTTGGCCTTTGTGTGTGTGTGTGTGTGTGTGTTTCTTTGTCTCTTCTGGTCTTTTTATAATTCAGAAGAGACTATTAGGATCCACACAACTGGTACGACATTAGGAGAGTGACAAAGGAAAATAGTGTTTCCAAACAGGATTTTATCCACAGGTCCAAGGGCCAGGAATTCAACACTTGTTTTGTTGCTTCTGGGTGCTGTCAAACCAGCTTCCACTCACAGCAATGCTACGTAAAACTGGACAGACTCCTGCCCGATCCTGCACCATCCTCCTAATCTCTGCCATATGTAAGCTCACTGCTGCAGTCACTGTCAATATTCCACTGAGGACCTGCCTCTTAATTATCGACCCTCTACTTTTCCAAGCATGATATCCTCCTCTAGGGACCAGTTCTCCTTGATAACATGCCCAAAATATTTTCAGAAGACACATTCAATCCAGAACAGGCTCTCCGGAAATTGGGGAGACAGCACTGGCTTGTAATGTTAGCCCATTACTGTGGTGTAAAGACATTTAACTGTAGTCTAATTGAAGCTTCCAACACTTCAACCAGCGGTTCACAGTGTTCCTGTAACCATCACAATCGGCTCCCATAAATTGGTTCCTTCTCTGTGAGGCATAACACGATACACACCTCCCCAGCCTCATCTCAGGTACCATGACCCCCTGCCTCCCACAATTGTCCTGAGACCCTCTGCTACTAAGCCTCTGTGCCTGGTGGTCTGTCCACCTGCCCTGTGTGTCTCCCATACACCTCTGCTCCCTGAAGTCATAATTCATGGCTCTTTCTCAGTAATGTCACACAGAACTCCTAGCATCTGCTGCAATTAATACACCTCCCTGTGTGATTGCCTGATCCACGTGTTTCACCATCGGGCTGTAAGGCAATACTCACTAAGAGGCATTATTTTCACATGTTCAATGTTAACATTGCCTTCTCTTCCTCCCTGGGGTTGTGCACGACCTCGCATGGGACACAGTCTGTCTTAGGTAATCAGTGAACATCTCTGGAACCTTTGTGCTTTCTGTGCTTCTCTTTTGGGCAGCTCCTCCCACCTCCATCGAAGTGGTGGCCGCTGACACCCCAGCTCCCTTCAGCCGCTATCAAGCCCAGAACTTCACACTGATCTGCATTGTGTCTGGTGGGAAACCAGCACCCATGGTGAGTACTCCTGGAGGGCCCAGCTGCCTTACCACCCACTTCAGGACTTAACCAGCTGTAGGGGCACCACCATGCCCTCTCTGCAGAATTGAGATGGGCTATCATCTGACTCCATCCATGCATCTGACCCAGCCTGGTGTCAATGTGGCTTTCTTGTTCTAAGTTTCCCAGAAACTTTCCTCATACTCATTCTAAAATAATGGTCTTATACAGTATTTGTCCTTATGGGACTGAGTTAGTTCACTCAGCATAATGCTCTCCAGTCCTTCCCAAGTTAGGTAGTGATTTCATTGCTCCAAGAATGGAGATCTTGACCAAGCTGGGCTGCAAGTTCATGTCCTCCAGCTTTAAGTTCACTGCCTTTTCCAGGGAGAAAAAGAAAAGAGATGGGAGAATTAAAGAGAAGAGAGGAGAGAGGAAGAAACAAAGAGAGGGAAGGGGGAAAGAGAGAGGAGAGAGGAAGGAGGAGGGAGGAGGGAGGGGGAAAGGAAAGGAGAGGAGAAGGGCCAGAATCCCTTTTGTGGCCAATGTTTGGATGAAGGGCCATAAGCAGATGATCAAAAGCCTAGGCGGGGCAGTAAGCAGGTGAGGAGAAACAAACACATAGTGAGTGATGTCTGTCTCCCTCCACGTACACCTCCCTAGTCCTCAGGAGATAGGCTTTTAAAAAACAGCTTCAAAGTCATCAGTTGCTAAGGGCAGGGCATGGCCCTACATTTTCCCTTTCTGTGTCCACAAGGAGGCCTTGCCTCCCTAAAATCAGGAAAATTGGTCTGTTTCCCAAAGACGACCTCCTCTACTGGAGTCAGAGAGAAAAGTTCTCAGCTGTAAGGTAGGCCCAGCACGCTGGCTTGTCTATTGTGCCATTTAAAGCATGACAACAAAATGTGATGTGTGTGTGTGTGTGTGTGTGTGTGTGTGTGTGTGTACACACAGAGCACTGGTGGCATGGTGTCTTATGAGTGTGACTCGCTAACTAAAGTGTCAGCAGTTTGAATCCACCAACTTCTCTTTGGGAGAAAAGTGGGCACTTTCCTGCAAAGATTTATCGCCTCCATTGCCATGAGATGAAACAGACTCCATAACAGTAGTTTCTGGGTTTGGATATACGTATATATACACTTAAAAGATCCTCATTTCTATCTCCCCACATGGCCTGGGATATGAGAATTTAAAAGGAATTCTTTGATATACATTACTAACCTGCTTTTGGAACACTTTAAAGAAAGAAAACCTGAAAAGAAAGGAAAACTCAAAGCACGCCATTATGTGCATAAGAGATTCTTAGCTGGAGCTATAAATTCTGACAGTTTCTCTGCTTCCCAAATTTCATTTTCCCTCACACCTCTCCCACCTCCCCCTGTCCCCACAGCCCCTCCCTCTCTCCTTTCCCAGTGTCCCTGCGAGCCACTTCCTCCCCTCTTCTCTCCTATCGATTTATTTATCTGATTTCTTTAAAAAACACACCCAGTCCTTGCAGGCCTCCAGGCGCATGTACCAAAATAAAAGGACAGCAAATTAAATTAGATGCTGCTGCTCAAAACCTGAATTCCCCATTAGCAGAGAAAGTGAGAGAGCTCTGGCCTCGTCCCCACACTTAGTTCCTCCCACACATGCACCTGTTCTGTGCCTGCTGTGGCTGAAATGTGTGCACGCACCCCAACCCCCATACCTACACACACAGATTCTTTCCTCCTGCTTCTTCTCCCAGCGACCCATTTAATCATTTCCTCTCAACACCCATGCACTCTCTCCCTCTCATCCACCTAACCTCTCCAAGATGATATGATCACTCCCTCAGAGTCCAGGTTCAGCCACACCCAGGCCCAACATCCTGGCCCCATCTGCTACACACTGTTTTTTTTTTGTGCTTATTTGAGAGCTCCACAGAGTACGAGTTCTTGTGAAAGAAGACAATGAGGTCTACTAGCTGGTGAGTGATAGAGCTGGTAGTGCAGGCTTCTCCACCAGGGTCTACATGCAATCCTGTGGTAACTCAGGCTCACCATGCCCAGGGGATGCTGGAGGGAGAAGCAGATAGTGCTTCTTCTAGAAGACCACTTGGAGACAGAGGTTCTGGAAGAACTGGCATCCTGTGCTAGTCCACCTGAAAGCCCATGGAGAGGTCATTGTCAGTGTCCCCAAAGCTCTCACCACATCCTTCTTGCAATTGCAGGTTTACTTCAAACGCGATGGGGAGACAATTGATGCAGTGCCCCTGTCAGAGCCTCTGGTTGCGAGCTCTGGTCCCCTCCAAGATAGCAGACCCT